TTTCTTACCCCTCCATATTTAGCATCCATGTTGTGTTCTTTCATCAATCAGACCCTGTTATTGCTGCTCTTGAGTTGATTTCTCGGGGGGTGGGCGTTGGTAGGAGGAGGGCAATGTTTGACCAGTATAGTAAGAACCCCTCTCCCAGCTAATCTTTGGTTTCCCCCCTCCCCCCCAATTATTTCACTTGTGATTAACCCTCCCTCCCCAAGAGACCAAATTGAAATGCCAATCAAAATTAGGATTTCAGATTCCGTTGGATTTACTGGACTTTCTCGTTAATCACGTTCCTTATTTTATTCATTATCCAGGAATTTGGGAATGTGGGGAATGCAATATTATCCAAATTTGACACAATTGGAGCCCTCTCCTTTTTCCTCTCCTCCTGAAGAGAAATTAAACCCTTTTGCCTCACACATCAATCTTGCTTCTTAAAACTTCTTGGGAGGTCCACTGTGATATTAGTAAGGACTCAATCACAATCCTTCGCCCGCAGATTTCTGAAATCAACATTAATTAAGCTCCAGGCCCCGATTCACTTCACTGTGATTCCACTATCACTTCCAAGCAATACAAAGCATTTGTGTTTTGTCCAACATGGGATATGGTTGTGGGATCTCCAGACATTGGCCCTCACCCACTAGATATCACACAATTTATTTCATCCTCCTCATCGCACAAGAGAGAATTTCTAGCAGAAGTTCGATCACAAGTTCTTTCCCTGCAAGGTTTCCAGAGCTCAGGATTAAGTAGTCACCTCTGTAGCAATGACTCCACAGAGTACACAGCCGCTGAATTCCATTGCATCCACGTGACAACCACGGGAATGTTTTATGATATCCAAGGGTCTGTATTGGAATTTGCAAAGCAGGTGATTAAGTATAAATGTTCAACCATGATCAGGCCAGTCAATGTGGCAAAGTAAGCCCGAACTCAATCAGCTGACTCCCTGAGTTCAGTAAAGAGGCATTCTTGTCAGAGGGCGTTTCTGTTTAAAAACGATGGGATCAGCAATTGTATCATTTAGATAAATATTGATCATTCGCTTCATGGCTGGTCATGGGACATTGTTGTGTGAAAATTGGCTGCTGCGTTTGCCTGCAAAAATACAGTGAATGCTGTGAGGTGCTTTAAGACATCTCAGTGACGTGATAAGGCGCTGCATCAAATCGCAAGCAATATTGATTGCAGAGGGGGACATTTTAAATATGAATTATATTATTGACAATATTGGTGGGGTAGTGCTGACAACATTTTGCATGCCTTCCCATTGCCCTTTGCTCAAGTGCAGAATTTAGGTTTTCTATCCAAGATATATTGAATGACTTATGTACATTCTACAGTGTGAGTCAACCCTCCCTCACTCCCCTTCCTGTCCAAATTGGATCCTTTTTAATAAATATAATAATCCTTGCATTTGATATAGCGCCTTATCACGTCTTCGAAGCGTCTCAAAGCGCTTCACAGAATATGCTGTATATCTTGTGGGCGAAACGACTGTATATTTTTCCTTCAAACAAATAAAAATTGCCCTCAGTAGAATTCTGCAGTCCTGGCTTTTCCAAAGTCTTATCACCATAGCCATGAACTACGGTAGAGGAGACAGTGTTATAGATTGTGACATTAACATAAAGCACCATTATTCAGGGAGCACAACGGATATAACGTGACCAACTTATGCCAGGTTGCTATTAAAGCCTGGACAAAGTTCAAGGTTACCTTGCGGTACTCAGGGGTGAAAAAAAATTAAACGACAGTGAATTTTGCTCTTGTTTGATTCAAAGTTAAGTGTTACATTTTTATTATATTCATTTTTATGACATGTTTAACTCTAGGAAATTAAAAGAAAAGTTTTATAGCTACCTCTTGCAACAGTTTATCATAAAGTTCAGAGATTTAAATATTTTTTAATTTAAAAAAAAGTGGGACTTGACGAAAGAAGAAAAATATAAAAGGCAGAAAAGAAAAATGAGCCAATATCTTTTTGCGTAATGCCACTGAATCAGGCACAGAAGCAATGGGAGTGCAAAAATGCAACGTTTCATAGTCATCACATCAAATCTGTTATGAAAAGTTGCATTTTCCACCCCAGTAAGGATCGGAGGATTCATTAACAACTTTTTAGAATGTAGATCAACCACACAATAACATACTGTCTTTTTTTAATTATTTTTATTCTTCGTGTGGATCTACTCTTGTATCTATATTATGTATTAACTGGTGAATAGACTAGATAACATCAATACCTCAAATTATACTACTTATGATATTTCTGTATATTTTGGTCGTTTCTCTCTGATATTTGTGTGAATGTTTTTTATTCAAATAAACTTTTACTGCTCCCTACGTGTGTTTGGTTCTCTCCTTTGGGAAAATAAAGGGATTTTTACTGTATTGGGAGTCGGGAGGTTGTGAGTTCAAAGTAAAATTGTTACTTTACACTAGTTCTTCGCCCCCCACGACCCCTCTTTCTCTCCCCGATAAATGTTCTTCCTGAAACTGGAAAGTGCAGACTTTAATGGAGTTCCACTCGACATGGAAAGCTTACAACAACCTCCTCTGAGTGGCCACGTGGGGGCAGCATTAGCTGAGCAAAGTGCGGAGCAATACCGCGAACTAAGTTTGGTAACAAAACCTTCAAAGCCTTTTTTACCTTCGGAATAAGACAGCCACAGGCAAACTACTCGCTCCTGAACTTGCCACCCTAGCCTAGCTCTGCACATGTATCACCCATGTAGGGTGATTCTCCCGATGTCCTGGTAAACAATCCCCCAAATAAAACTGGTCATTCACTCCATGGCTGTTTGTGGGACATCACTGTGGGCAAAACTGCCTCCAGCATTCGCCCACAAAATACAGACACTGCATTTTACAGTGAAGCCTGTGAAGCGCTTTGGGATGTCCTCCAGATGTGAAAGGCGCTATATCAAATGTAACGATTCCTTATTATAATGAGGTCTTAAGAAGGCTAAGGCCATGAGGATTTATGAGCCTCTGATAGCTTGTTCCTCTCACCCCACCCCACTGGCAAATGATATGATTACATTCGATTATTGTAGATAAGAGCATTCCTACCATAAATGTCCTTGTGTTAGACTGATAAAAGCTTAAGGAAGTTCCGGGGTGCCTATTAGAGGCTGTCGTCTTAGTGGCTGGGCAATGTTTCACCTGAGTTTCTATGAAACATCCTTCCTAATGGAATTTCTGTCCGGTTGAGAATCTGGAAAGATTCGGAGAAAGCTTCAAGGAAATGCAAGTGGCCAACACCCACCATGTTCATGTTTAATTTGTCATCAATTCTGCACACCCGAGGCAACAGATGGAGAGGGGGTGCTTTATTCAGAGCTTTCGGGGTTCAAAGTGTAAACCAAAGAGCTTTAGGCTGGATCCCAGCTCTGGCTGTAACCATAGTGACTCCTTTCCCACAGCTGCAGCTGAACTTTCTGTGGTGTTGGTACTCATATTACACAGAGCATCCATCCTCACGCCCACTCCCTACACCTGGCTGTAAGCAGGTTACCTTGTTACCAATGCATCTGCACTCGTGCTACAGAAAAAAGACACACACACCAAATACACTATCAATCTTCCTCAACACGTTAAGCCAATAAAACTATATCAAAGTGCTCCTTCTTGTGGCTGATTGCCACAGGTTGCACTCTGAGCTGGTACAGACCAGTCGCAGGTTCCAACCCCAGGTCTGAGCTGAGTTAGCTGATCTCAACCAAGCAAACGGTTAGGTTACACCACAGTATTCACAGGCCAGGAAGCAAGGCATTAACCAGCATTGGATGATAATTATCATTAGTAATCATCCTTACGTTAGATATTGTTTCATTCATATCTGGAGCATATTTCAAAGCGCTTCACAGGATTTACTGTAAAGTGTCGAGACTGTGTGTATTTTGAAAGCTAACATGGCAGACAAATTGCGGACAGCAATGTCCCACAAACAGCCATGAACTGACACTCCAGTGCTGGGGGAGAGCTGTGTTGTCAGAGGTACCGTCCTTCGGATCAGACATTAAAGCAATGTCTCATTTGCCTGTTCAAGTGGATATACAATCCTTCACATACATCTATCATTCATCTCGTGGCTGTTTGTGGAACATGGTTATGGACAAATCGTCTCCAGTGTTTGCCTACAAATACACTTGACAGCAATTAATGGTGAAGCGTTGTGAGATGTTCTAGATATTATGGACGCTATATCATATGCAAGAATCGCATATATGACAAGAGGGTTACCTTCGTTTGACGGAGACTCAAAGTTCCCACTTACTGCTGGGTGAACAGAGTAAGGAAACTTGCTCAAAGTTTCACACCGCAAGGGAATAAAACCTGGATCCTCTCGCTAACACTATGGTACGGGGACTCCTATTTGTCCCAAGCTTGCCCTTGACAACCATGAACCTGCTGCCTTGGTGTATCTAATAATAATAAAATAATCATTACATTTATAGTGCTATATCACGATATCAAAACATATCAAAGCACTTCACGGGATTTTATTGTATTTGTGGGCAAACACAGCAGCCAATTTGTGCACAGCCTTGAAGTTAGAACACAAGTTGTATCTGTGGGGATTGTTGGCCTGAACATCCGAAGAAACTCCCTTCTCTCCTCAAACAGTGCGACGGTATCTTTGAGTTCCACCTGAATAGGCAAAGAAGACCTTGGTTTAAGGTTAGCAATCCCCCAGCCTAGATGAGGAGCTGAAAGCCCCAATGTGGGATTTGAACTCACAGCCAGGCTCAGTTGGTTGCATTCTCTAGTCCGTTAAGCATCTTATCAAGTGAGTCAGATCACAATGTTAATTGTCTGAAAAACATACTTCCTTCTCATCTCTCAGCTGCTTTTTTAATGACATCCTCCTTTAATCACATGACTGAAACAGAACAAATATTACACTCTGTTTGTTCAGCCTTATTAACCATTGACGGCTTTTCATGCTGAATAAGGCAATGCCCTTCTCCAACACTGTTTATTCGTCCAAAGCAATTTAAAATGTGGTCATTGCCAACACGCAAGTAAATTCTCTGTGAAATTTTCACCTGGGTACGAGTCTGTTGCACTTTGTTCGATATTTATTTGTTTCTTTGGTAAACGACCTACTTTGGTAAATGTCTGTCCCGCTGGGGTTGGAGGGGGCTTACATGCCACGTGCTGGATTGGAAAGTGCAGCACCAGGTAAGAACCAAATCAAATTCCTCTCTTGAAGATTGTTGTGTATTTTCTTCTTCAGGAGCCTGCGCCTTGCTCGTGAGTTGATGCTTCGATCGTGTGTCAGCCTGACGCAGTGATAGCGCTCTCACCTCTGAATCAGACGGTTGTGGGTTCAAGCCCCACGTCAGGACTTGGAATCACATAGTCCAAACTGACACTCCAATGCAGTGCTGGGGGGTTGTTGCATTGACACAGCTACTTTGGACACTTTGACACTGATAGACTGTTTGCACTCGGTGAGTCCAAAAGCACAAGGACATAAACATAAGGTAGTGAGTAGTTGATCTAATAGGGAGTTTAGGAGGAACTTCTTCACGCAGAGAGTGCTGAGAACATGGAACTCACTTCCAGAAGTCGAGGTTGAAGCAGAAAGCCACAATAATAATAATAATCCTTGCATTTGATATAGCACTTTTCACATCTTCTAGATGTCTCAAAGCGCTTCACAGAATATGACTGTATATATGTGGACAATGCACTTAAGAGGAAATTTGATTCATATATAAGGGAGAAGGGAGTAGATGGGATAGGAGAGGGATGGGGGCTGATGTAGAGTGTAGAGTTTAAACACCGGCACAGATGAGTTAAGCCAAATGGCCCATTTCCAAACTGTATCCCTTTATATAAATCTATTTACACCAATGCACTGTCAGGAGATAAAGATCTCCTATTGATCTCCATTTGCTGACTTCTTCATCTGATTCCAGATAGTGTGATGCATCGGAGCAATCATTTCTGCTTTTATTTCCACTTAATCTTTTCCTTGTGGTTACAATCTGCCATACAGGTAAATTGAATGATATATGAAATATTGTGATTTCAGTGCTGCGTGCCAGGAATAAGGATATTACAATGGAAAGGATCAGGGAGCTTAATAGTCCTAAGGACATTCCTGGAACTGTGCCATCATGTGAATACATTTGGCTTTTCAACACCTTTAATTTGCAGTTGCTCCAATTCAATTCCTTCACTCAATCAAACTCATCATTCTCTGATGTGGTTGATGTATTAAAGGGATCTTTTGGGATGTCGTATGGGTAAAGCTGGATACAGTGATAGAGACATATGGCACAGAAAAAGGCCATTTGGCCCGTCAAATCTGCTCCGTATCTCAGAGCAGAGTGCTCATTCAATCCCACTGACTTGACTTATCCCCATACGCCGTCAAGCCACTATCCTTCGTATGAGTGTGTCAGCCTGGCTCAGTAGTAGACTCTTGCCTCCGGGTCAAAAGGTTGTGGGTTTGAATCCCATGTTCGGACTTGAGCTCAGATAGTCTAAGCTGACACTCTAATGCAGTGCTGAGAATGTATTGCATCATTGGGGATTCCATCCTTTGAATGAGATGTTTAACCGAGGTCCTGTCATGTGGCTGTTTAGGTGGACATGAAAGATCCCATGGCACTATTCAAAAAGAGAAGGGAGTTTCTCCTGGTGTCCTGGCCAGCAATCCTGTGAGGAGAGAGAAAACAAGAACCGGATTTAGCTGCACTACTTTGAACATTAATCTGCTTTACACAGACTGTATAAAAATTCCACGTCATAGTCCACTGAATTAATGTAGAGGAAATGGCTAGCTACTGCTATGGATACTGTCCTGGATGACATCAGTGTTTGAGGTTTGTGCTGTGGAAACATGTCATAAACTAATTGGAATGAATGAAGAGTGGTGGTGTTTAAAGATTGTAATTACTGGATTAGCAAACAGAGATCCGGAATATTTTTACCCTGGTGCGTCAGATGCTTTGAGTGCATTTGACAGTCCAATGCTAATAGCTTGTCTGCTTACTCATATCTGCAGAGGGTTCAAAGCAAATTCAATTATTCCACACTTTGCCGTTCTTACTGTTAACCCTAATTATCTGTACCTGAATACAGAAACTACACACATTTTAGCGTGACTTTCAAAATAGAAATGAAATTCAGAACAACTCTCAATCTTTGAGTTTGACTGGGTGTCAGAAAGTGGAGACCTGTAGCATAGTGGTTAGCATGCTTGCCCCCAGCGAGAGGACACGGGTTCGAGTCCCGGGTGCGGCAAAACCCTAGGCAAGTTTCCTTACTCCACATCCCTCCATTTACGCAGCAGTAAGTAGGAACCTGTTTGTTGATCGCTTTCTGGGGCTAATAATCCCTCCCCCAAAAATGTGGTCACTCAATCCCGGGACTACTTGTGGGACACTGCTGTGGGCAGTTGGTGGCCATGTTTCACACACAAAATATATAGTCAATTCACTTTTCAATATGCTCTGTGAAGTGCTTTGAGATGTCTCAACGATGTGATAAGGTTCTATATCAAATGCAAGGTTTATTATTATATAAAGTGTTTCATCAGCAATTTCCTTCCACAGATTACACTGAACCAACCTTTTTGTAGCATCTTGATTAGGTGCCAACCTGGCTCAGTTGGTGGCCTCTGTTCTAGCCAACATTCCTCAACTTCTAGAGGCAGTCAAGGAAGAATTCTAATAGAACCTCTCCATTTCCTCGAGACCCACTGCCCTCTGAAGATCACGTCCTGCACCTCTTTCCAGGTCGATATGATGAGTATCTGGTCTAAAATATGAGCAGTGGAGGAGGAGATTGTAATCCATAATTAAACTATCTTTGTGAAGACAACCCCAGTAATGCCAGGCAGCTTCGCAATATACCAAGGCAGTGTCTAATGGGTGACCAACCTGTCCAGCTCAGCAATGGGGCTCAGGGTTGTTTGTTGACTTCTCTAAACCCTGAGACTCAAAGCCCTAAGTTCTGGGCTACACTGTTACCAAATTGGCCTAAGAGTGGTCTGTGCTGACACTGAGGCCATTTCTCAACATCGCTATCACTCAGGGAAACAAAATCAAAACCTGTAAATAAAATCACACTCACGACAATGTTTATACTTTATTACGAATTGGGTAAAGCTGCCTGTTGCTATAGAACAGAGGAAGGGCAGTGAGAGCAGAACGACAAGGTGGGAGTTCTTGTCAGGCAAAGCAACCCCACCCGCTGTATGGTCTCAATAGGAAATAATACTAATCTTTATACTTGATATAGTGCCTTATCACGTCATTGGGACGTCTCAAAGCGCTGCACAGAATATATTGTAAAGTGGAGGGACTGTGTATGTTGTCGATGAAATGTGCAGTATCTGAAATGAATTGCAAAGAAAAGTGGCTGAGGGCAGGACTCTGGACTCATTTAAGAAACAACTTGATTCTGTGATGGAAAGACAGTAGGCTGGGCTTTCTGGAGGGATGAAATCCTTGTTTTTGATCTTACAGCCTACTTGTTGGTTCATTAAAGAGCTGTTTTATGTGGATTATCCGATTGGTATCAATGACCCAATCAATAAAATAGCCTGAACTAACAGACGCCAACTTGTGGGGGGAGGGGGGGCGCGGAGGGTAACTTTACTTTCCAATCAGATGGTTCTCAGGGGATTAAAAGGCTCAATATCCTTTTTGTTCACCCTACGTACCGGGATTTCCAAACAGTCGCCAAACAAAACAGTTCCTTTTATTGCCCTGTGCCTTTATCTGCATTAATCTTCAAAGCATCTGAATGGATTTTTAGTCAGATCAAACAGAGGTGAGACACAGGAGTCCAGCACTGCCCTGTCACTACGGTGATCAAACTAACTATCAAACCTCTAGAGACAAGCAGTGCAGGGAGATAATAATAATAATCCTTGCAGTTGATATAGCGCCTTATCACGTTGTTGAAACGTCTCCAAGCGCTTCACAGAATGTACTGTAAAGTGAATCGACTGTATATTTTTGTGGCCGAAATGTGGCAGCCAATTGTGCACAACGGTGTCCGTCAAACAGCTGTGATCAAACTATGGTGACCAAATTATTATTATTTTATTATTGAATATCTCTTCCCACCCCTTCCTCCACGTGTTTTCCCCCAATACTCCAGATCTTAGATATTACGACAATGGCCTTAAGGACAAGATACAAAGGAGATAGAGGCGGGGGAAGGAAGAGGGAAGGTCTGATTTCTGTATAATGTTGAATTAGAGTTCATGTGTACAGCTCCTCCGATGGTCTGTTGGGCAAAGGTCATTAAAAAGCACAGCTGAGTCATGCAGACCTGAAGATCAAAGGTTTATCCCTCCTGTACTTCACTCAAATGGACACTACTCATTAGACTGTTTTACCAAAAAAAAGCATTTGACCCAGACCTGATCCTACCCTCATCCGATGCCCACACACACACATTCCAATGTTAGGGGCGATTCAATTTCTCCTCCTCTCACTCGACCAAGACATTGAAGCTAATTGTAGTCATCCTCAACCTCTGCCTCAGATAGCATTAGGTATAATAATAAATCTTGCACTTGAGATGTCTCAAAGCGCTTCACAGGATACATTGTAAATTGGCTTGACTGTGTATTTTTGAAGGTGAATGTAGAAGCCAATTTTGCACACAGCAATTTCCCATAAACAGAAGAGACTTGCTTCCTCATTCCAAATTAGGATCTTGAACATCCACTTGAACAGAAGGGACCTCGGTTTAACGTCTCATTCAAGAACAGCGCCAACGACATCGCAGTGCTCCCCCCAGCGTTGTACTGGGGTTTCAGCCTAGACTGTGTGAGTTCAAAGTTCCGATGTTGGTTTGCTTGAACCCACAGCCTGAAAACGCAGAGGTGAGAGTGCTACCAACTTCAGACCCAACCACGTGGAGGGGGTTGAATGTGGGACCTTCCTGCACTGTTACTGACTAAATAAAACCCACTGCCATTGGGAAAGACATCAGGTGGATCTCTGAGCATTAATGCTAGCGGGTTTTATTTTGTTTTTGTTGTTGTGATGGGCGGCAGACATTAAATGGTTAAGCATTCTCTTCTCTGAGGGTTAAATCAATGAGGCTGGAGTGCGGTGCAGAATGCATTTCTTTCCACTGTGTTTGTTATCTAAGTGCTTTCTCTGAATGAAGAAGAGAGAATGGGTTGAGGAGAGGATGAATCATAC